TAAAATATGTGAAAGACGGAATTAAATACAAAATTAAAATATTTATTTCATAATTTTATTTATATTTATTTTATTTTTATTTTTAATCAATTATTCAAAATAAAATATATTTTTTAGGAATTTATTTGTATAGATTATTTATGTATTTAGGTTTATCAAAGAACCTTTCGCTTGTCTTACGCCTTTTCATTCTCCAGGCTAGAGCTTCTCGCCAACTCCGATCAACGACAATATACTTCTAAGCCGCATTAAACTCTAAACACTTGGAAATATTTAATTTTGTGAAAAAGTTTTTCAAGTTTGGAGCGCACTTTGAATACGCTTGAGTGAATTCAAGTTCAGGTTTGCGCTCTTCCCTTACTTTTTCAGTTTTTTCGGTGGCATCGATAATAATTGAAGTGAATAACAATGTGTGTGCGTGTGTGTGTGTGCGAGTGTGTGCGTATGTGTGCATGAGGCGGTCGCAAAAGCTTCTTGAGGAGAAGTTCTCATTGTGCTTTGTGCCAGCTCTAATTGACCATATGGGTTGTTCCGCTGCCTACTTGAAAACTGTTGAGCGCGTTATTTGTCTGGATATTATTTATTATTCGATTTGAAAATCGAATTTGAATGGATCGGCAAAAAAAAAGAAAGAAATAAAGCTCGAATAAAATGTGAAAATTGCATTATTTACGACATTATTCGTTATGCGCCTCGGCTTTTTATTGTGTGCGTGTTTATTTTTGTTTTTGTGCAAATTGATTAGTGGGCTGAACTTGATGGGGTTGTTGTTGCCCTGCCTCTGCCTCTGCCTCTGGCTCTGGCTCTGGCTCTGGCTGGACTTCTAGGGGCTGGCTCTGACTTCGATAGACGACATTCGACATTCGACTTTTGGGCTTTGTTGTGCACTGCGCTGTAAAGTGATTCGCTTGAGAACGAACTCTCTGCCCGTCTACCGAGTCCTGGGCTTGGGCCATCATCAATCGGCTGCTGCTGGCTCTCTGCCAGCTCTTGGCCACCATTTATTAACCAGAAAAGCCGCCAGATGCAGCATTTTCATGAATGAAACTCTGCGTCTCTATCCACTGCAAATGTTGACAAATTATTTCGTGTGCCCGTTGCAACTGCAATTAGCGTTTGATTATCGCCGCGTCTTGCACCTGAAGATTGATCGCGCTGCCAGCGCATGCCAGCCGAGTTGCTAATTTGTCTCTGCATCTCGAGCATTATATGGTCGGCAATTTGTTTTATCTGTTTGAGTAATTGATGATGAGCTGTGTTTAGAGTCTGATGGGGTATGCTAGGCGTATCCTGGGGTTTTGCTGTTACTAAGGAATTCTTTAAGCAAGCTTTCAATGAACCGTTAGAAAATTCTGATAAGATATGTTTTAAGTTATCGTAGAGTTTT